GCGAGCGTTGGACTCCGCCGGACCACCGCGCATCCTTTCAGAGAAACTATTCCTTTGGTAAGTCTTTTGGCCTTTTTTCGATCACTTTAACGTTTTTTAAAAGAAATATCGTTATAGACATTACTATCGACTTTAATTCTGAATTTTGTTTTTCTTGTGAATATTTTAAAAATTCAAAACTCAAAATTTTGTATATTTGTTTTTGTGTATTGAAGAACTATAATACAAGACAAAAGCAACAAAGCAATTGGCAAAGGACTAACGGAGAGGACCGAATGCAAGCATTTTTCTTGGTTTCGCCGGGCCGTACAACTTCTGGTACCGGAGTTTTCCTTCCGGCCACCGCTTCTCGTCCGCCTACCAAAAAACCAGGTTATTATTAATTAAATCTATACTAATTATGTATGAAACAGAAACGTGCATAATGTTTTCAATTGCGTAAATCTTTTTAGTTTTTGGGTTTAGGCTTGATGAGCTAAAAAAAAAACGCATTTTAAACTCATTTACGTATGATTTGATCTTATGTAACTTTGAATATGACATGAACATTATATGGTCACAGCTTGTTCACCGGTACTTCTCCCGGCTCGTGTTGTTCAAGCGCTCAATCTCAACGTTCATAACAATGGAATCCATATTTCTCCCCGTTCAGGTTTTTTTTTCCCGACCATTATTCTCTATTTTTTACTTTGTCGGACCGCTTTTTAAATGGATCACATTATATATTTGTTTGTTTTGTTTTGAATGTAGAAATTCGAGAAAATGATTCGAAGAAGAAGAGCGAAATGGTGATGGTAACACCTATGAACATTGAAGTAGAAACTCCGATTGACTCGCCGGAGAAACTTCTACCGGAGGAATGGATTTATTGATGACCCGACCATTGTGCCATTAACCAATTTGGAGAAGTAGAATCAAATAAAAATAAAATGAAAGATTCTATGTAGATTCTTGCGTCGTGTATGCTTTCGTCGTTACCATTGGGTTGGTAATTAATTATGCTCAAATAAATACCAGCCCGTTTGTGAAGAATGTGTATATTCATAATTTGAAATCCTTATTTTAAATTTTCCAATTTCTCTCTCTTTTTTCTTTAGGGTTTGCATTTAGTTGTCACCATTATTAATGGATTTCTTAGGGAGATTGAATCAAGTTCAATATGAATATGTCGATGCCAACAAAAACATTACTATCGGGCTTAAAAGGTCGAACCAAGACTAGTATACCTTTTTATTTTAGTGCATAATGAACTTTTGTTTTGGTCAAAGAAATATAATTAACTAACATGATTTTTAATGAAAATATATGTAAAAAAAGTTGCGCAAGCAAAAATATAATCAAAGTGAAATCTCAATTTTCTTATCATATAATTGCAAAAAGCGAAAGTTATCAAATGATTCCACACAACATTATAAAATCGGTAAAAATATGGAAATGATGTTATATTATGTGTTATAGTCCGACTTTAATTCCAATTATTAACATTGTGGAATTGTATAATCGTGGAAAACCAAAAAAAAACTTGTTGAATGAAATATAGAAATGGTTTATGAAACAAAAAAAATAGTGTAATAGCCAAATTCTTGTGTTATTTGTGCTTATAAACCTTGTGGAATCACATAATGGAATAAAAATAGCGAAACTATTCCACCATCATGAATGTTAATAGTCAATAATCATATTACTCGAGTTATTATTGTAAGGTCAATTGTTTTGTGTGTATGTGGGGTTGTTTTTGTTAAATAAAAAACCAAGCTGGGTGTTTGCATGTCAAAGTAAACCAAATCGGGTCATAACCAAATATTTGAAGAAATTGGAGACCGTCGGTGTTAAACAGAGTCTTTAATTTGTTAAAAACAATAAAGGCCCAATTATTTTTTCCTCCTCCTCCTCCCGCTCTTGCTTCTTTGCCATTGCTGTTTCGAGCTCTCTCTCAAAGCCCTAGATTTCTTCTTCCTCTCTCGCCATGAAGCTCGTAAGGTATGATTTCTCGTTTTATCTGCTGATTTCTCTTTTTGCTTCGGTTAATGGGTTTTGGGTCGAAAAATTCTTGTTCTTCGCTGTTTGATTTCGTATCGGGATTTTGTTTTTTTGTTCGCAGGTTTTTGATGAAATTGAACAATGAAACAGTCTCAATCGAGCTTAAGAACGGAACAATTGTTCATGGAACCATTACAGGTAACGCTTCTCTTTATTCTCTAGCTCGATTCGGTGTTTTAGGGTTTTGCTTAAAATCTACGATGCTTCTTGTACGATGGATTTGTGTTAGCTCTTAGTTTCTCTGGTGATTGTTCGAATTCACAAATCCTGAGGTGTAATTTGAGTGTTGATTTTCTTACCCTAGAAATACTTTGTCAGTGTCAGATGCAGATGGTACACAAGATATTGCTTTAAAATCAGAGGTTTATGAGATAGTTTAACTCTTCTTGAAACTTTGATCACCCATGAGATAGGTTAGTTTTTAACAATGGAGCTTTTGTATTCACAAATTCTGAGGTGTGATTCTGTTGTTAGTGATAATACCTAATGAACTTTGAGTTTAGCGAGAATGTTGATTTTAAGCTAGAAAAGTCATTGTCGGTATCAAAACTTGCGATTGCAAGAATTGAATGACACGGTCGAGTCAGATGCAGATGGTATAGTAGATTTTGGTTTAGATTCATTTGAGATTTATGAGATTGTTTAGTTGTTCTTTTGAAATCTGATCACCCACCCATAAGCAGCACTATACTAGGAGAAACATGACTAACGTGTAAACCAAAGATACATCAAGTCCCGTTTGAATGAGATTTAGTACTTGAAAGTTCCTCTTCCCTTTAAATCCTTGTAAAGAAGATCCCTGAATTTGTATATACCTGTTTCTGTATGACTTCTTTTAAGCTTCTCTTTTACTTTCATTCAACTGATTGATTTCCTTGTCAAATACAAGTGGTCTCTACTGTTAATGTTTGGTTTCATTTCATTTTTCTGCCATCATCTTGTTTAGAATGAAATCATCAATCACCACTAACCGGTGTTATCTCTTTGCAATGACTTAATGCAGGTGTAGATGTTAGTATGAACACTCATTTAAAAGCTGTGAAGCTCACTTTGAAAGGGAAGAATCCAGTTACATTAGACCACTTAAGTGTCAGGGGAAACAACATTCGCTATTATATTCTTCCAGACAGCTTGAATCTCGAGACTTTACTGGTCGAAGACACTCCAAGAATCAAACCGAAAAAGCCAACTGCAGGTAACATAAACATTTCTCTTCATCCATTCTTAACTTAACAAAGTAAAACAATTTTCATCTTCTTCGACTTTTTGTGGTTTTATGCATATTCTCTATCATTTTATTGTTCGCATCGGTATATCAGGGAAAATTCCACCAG